TTTGCAAGACATTCTTTTACCTTTGAAGTATAAGGATTCACCTCTGAATAAAGCATATTTTCTTAAGCTAAAGAAAAAAATAGACAACATAAAAATAAAAAGCTATACAAAGTACGACAGTGTACAGTTAAATCTATTCCTTTTATAATTGTGACTGTCAGTGGTTAGATCCCTATTATATCTCTTTTTAAATATCATCAATAAATTCAAATAAGATGCTTCTAATCAATACGGTAGAATCTACAATCACCATAGCGCCATGCATAAGCGAGGTCGTTCTACATAATGGCAAGAGTCGAGAAAGGAAATTATGAAATGTTTAATAACTATAATTTGATCTTAAATTATCTTTCTTCTGTTTCCGCTGACTGGAATCATACCATATTACTATTATTGAAATATTTTTCTGTGATAGTCGTACTGTATGGTCCAATCAACACATTTTCCTTTATATTTTACTGTTATACACTACTTTACATTTGATGACATGCTTAGAAATACTTGAAATACTAGAAATTCATGATGTATATATATGTATATCGATACATAAGTATACATATACACATTCATATGCGTATATATGCGTGTGTTATTTTTGTCTTATTTATTTATTTAGCTTTCGTTGAGGAAAAGCCCAGTGGGCCTATATACAAGGACATTCAGTAATAGAAAGGTGAAGAAGCTATAGCAAAGAAGTGATACAGAGCCAAAAGAGATGTGGAACAAAGCTTTTATGTCTAGATACAAACTTGGATGAGAATTCAGAGGTATAGTCTGTCTTATTCTTAGAGCACCAAACACAAGTAAAAGCATTTATGTGAAGTTTCCAAATGAGGTTTGAAAAAACAGAAAATCCAAATTGAAGAGAGAATCGAACAGAGTCATATCATCAATTATTGTCACAGCTGTACATATAGGGTTTTGCTAGAAATTACTTTTTGGTCGTTTTCTCTTGGGTAAATTTAGTTTTTTAACTTAACCCACTGTTTATTAAGTGTAAGATCTTGCGTGAGAAGTGAAGCAGAGATGGTCCTTCCGAGAAAAGCATACATACATACATCCATTTGGGAGGTCAAATGTTGGGGCGCAGGATGGAAATGAGAGTTACTTCTCCCACCTGCACCCCAACCCAGCATGAGGCCTGTGGGGCAAAGCCCTAGAAAACCCCATAGGCGGATGTTGGGCCCCACAGCCTGCCGACTTTATTTGGGGCAGCGTCGTCGGGGGTGGCAAAGTTGGCATTCTCCTGGAGCGACTACCCGAGGCTTACCCTCGGGCACTTGATGTTTGCAAACTGGATGTGCGAGACTCACGTCCGCGGCAGACAGTTGCCCCCGAGATATTCCCATTGTTCTGGGCGACTTTAATGCGGTATCCGGCTGTAATGGAGCTGGCTATGAGATGTCTGTCGGCCCCTATGGCTCAGGAGCTGGTCCCAGCAGTGAGACCAGTCCCAGAGAATAAGGATTTCTAGCTGTGGTACTGTGGCCAAGGAGATCGACCACATTCTTGTCAGCACTTGATGGAGGATCCTCCAAAATTGCAGGGTTTATTGGAGTGCTGACATTTGTGGTACTGACCACAGGCTGGTAGTGGCTACTCAACGGGTCTACTTCAAAACTCCTTCCATTCAGTGGATGGCTAGATAATCTCAGATCATGTTGAGGCTCGTGAATGTTGGGCTGAGTATTTTGGGCAGCTGTACCAGGTAGACTCTCCAACAGTTAGCTTGGATGCAAATGGTATCACAATACCTGTGCCAGACCCATCCATCAGCGAGGAACCTCCTACCCTAACTGAGGTTAGGATGGCGATTTCCAAGTTGAAGTGTAGGAAAACCGCAGGCATATGTGATATCCCTGCTAAATTGTCAAAGGCTGGCATGAACCTATGGCACGGGGCTTTCATGCAGTGTTGACTGCCGTCTGGCAGTCTGGTACCATTCCCTCTGACATGTTGAGGGGCATGGTCATCCCTCTCTGGAAGGGGAAAAGGGATTGTTGGGACTGTAGCATCTACCGTGTTATTACACTGCTTCGCATAGCAGGTAAGGTTTTTGCCCACATTCTTCTGAAATGGATCTACAACCACCTACTAAGGCACCAGAGACTGGAGCAATCTGGATTCACTCCTGGTAAGTCCACAATAGACCATATCCTAGTGCTTCAAGTAATTGTGGAACAACGTTGTGATTTTTTTTCGTGGGTTGCTCAAGAAGGCATTTGACTCAATGCATCGAGACTCGCTATGGGAGATTCTGAGGCTTAGGGGAATTCCAACATGGATTATTATTTTATGCCTATATACCACTTCTGAAAGTACTGTGAAGTGTGGTAGGGGCATGTCAAACTTCTTCCCAGTTAATTCAGGGGTGAGGCAAGGCTGTGTTCTTGCAACATCACTTTTCAACACCTGCATGAACTGGATAATCGGCAGAGCTACTACTCAAAGTCAGTGTGTAGCAACACTGGGCAATATCAAGGTCTCAGACCTTGACTTCGTCAATGGTGTTGCTATCCTATTTGAGTCCCTGGAGTCTCAGGCGGCTCTTGATGCATTTAGCAATGAGGCAAAGCCCTTGGGCTTAGAGGTCCCCTGGACCAAGACCAAGATTCAGGACTTTGGGGGCCTATTAGGGGAATCCATCCAGTCGATCCAAGCTTGAAATGAGGACATTGAAGTCACAGAGAGCTTTATATACCTTGGTAGCGTAGTCCATATCTCTGGGCTGCTAGACCAAGAAGTCAGTAGACGGATTGGTCTGGCAGAAGAAGCCATGAACTCAATAAGAGCATTTGGAGATGTCGGTACCTATACCAAGCTACATGACTTCAAGGCCATGATACTACCAGTTTTGTTTTATAGAAGCAAAACGTGGATGCTATTTAGCGCCTTGGAGTCTTGTCTTGACGCCTTTTGTAACAAGTCTCTTTGCTGGATCATGGGGTACAGTTGGCAGGACCATGTGTCCAACCGACGGCTACACCGTGAGACTGGCATGGGACCTGTTACTTGCATAATCCGGGATCGCCATCTCAGGCTATTTGGGCACCTAACTCGTTTCCCTGTGGATGACCCTGTCCATCAGGTTGATTCTCTGCCAGACAATCCTGGGTGGAGGCGGCCCGAGGGACGACCTAGGATGTCATGGCCTGGGTAGCTCGACAAAGACCTATCACGAGCAGTTAGAGATGGGCTGAGGGCCTGCCTGGAGGTTCGCCATGAGGGACCCTCGTGGCTGGAAGCGAAAGGTGGATGTGGCCATGAGACCCCATCTACGTTAGCCTCTTGATGATGATGATGATGATGATATATATACATGGAAATACACATCTATTTATCTTTTTATATGTATATATATATATATACGTATATAAATACATATATATATACACACAAATATACACAATATCTATCTTTATATATGTATATATATGTATGTATATATATAATATATATGCATATACATATATATATATATATATATATATATATATATATATATATATATATACATATATATATACATATATATATATGTAAATATAAACACATGTGTATGTACATATATATATATATATATATATATATATATATGTGTATATATACATATGTTTAAAGACATATATATATACATATACATACATATATATACGTATATGTATAATATATATGTATATATATATATATATATATATATATATATATATATATATATATATATATAAATATATATATACATATATATACATGTATATATAAACACATGTGTATGTACATATATATATATATATATATATATATATATATATATATATATATATATATATATATGTGTGTGTGTGTGTGTGTGTATATATACATATGTTTAAAGACATATATATACATATATATACGCATATGTATATAATATATATATATATATATATATATATATATATATATATATATTTATATATATATGTATATATATATATATATATATATATTTATATATATATGTATATATATATATATATATATATATATATATATGTGTGTGTGTGTGTGTGTGTGTGTGTGTGTGTGTGTGTTTATTCGTTGTTAGATCTTGAGTGAGAAGTGAAACAGGGATAGTCCTTCTGAGAGAAGCATTCTCAACTTACTACACAGATGGAGAGAGAAAAGAAAAACAAGGTATGGGAAGTCACAACTTCACCGATTGTACAGGAACCCACTTGAACTAACGGAAACCTATCTAGCTGATATATACTCCATATAAGTATGTATACATGTATATACATATATATATATACATATAACTATACACACACACACACACACACACAGCCCGGCCTGTGCCGACTAATGTCGACTCGCTAACAATGTGCCAGCAGGTGCTGACTCGGATGAACTTAGTCCTTACCCACCGTGGTGCCCAGCCACAGCAGTAATCTCCAGGCGACAATTGCAACTTCTCGCGCCTGGGCGGGGCGCGAACCGCCGACCCCTCGAATGAAAGGCCGGCACGTTACCACTGTACTAGCCCGGAGGCCCTTTGAAAGGTCAAGACACAGCCTTAAGTATCCGAGACGCTGGCTTGTATATATAAATAGATAGATAGATATTTATAGATATATATACGCATATATATACATATACACATGTATATATATAAGATATATATATTCATATATGTATATATATATATATATATATATATATATATATATATATATATATATATCTGTGTGTGTGTGTGTGTCTGTGTCTGTGTGTGAACATGTATATATATATATATATATATATATATATATATATATATATATATATATATATATATATATATATTTATATATATATATATATATATATATATATATATATATAGATAGATAGATAGATAGATAGATGGATATACAGATATGTACATATATATGTATATGTATATGTATACATGTATGTGTGTGTATTTATATTATTTTTTCAACACATATATGTATATGTGCATGTATACATGC